GCAGTCATTCTCCATTCTCCCTTTCTCTCAGCCCCTGGGAATAACTAATCTACTTTCTGTCTCTATGGCTTTGTCTATTCCACACGTTTCATATAACTTGTGACCTTCTGTGTCTGGCTTCTCTCACTTAGCATAATGTTTTCAAGATCCATCCATGTCGTAGCATGTATCAGTACTTTATTTAATTTTATTGTCAAATAATATTCCATTGTATGTATATACCACATTTTATCCATTTGTCAGTTGATTGGCATTTGGGTTGTTTCCACTTTTTGGCTATTGTAAACAATGCTGCTATAAACATTTCATGTGCAAGTTTTTGTGTGGACATATGTCTTCATTTCTCCTGGGTATATACCTAAGAATGGAATTTCTGGGTCACATGGCGACTCTATATTTAAACATGTTGGGGACCTGCTAGACCATTTTCCAGAGCAGCTGCACCATTTTACATTCCCATCAGCAGTATAAGGGGGTTCCAGTTTCTCCACATCCTCATCAACAGTTATTAATATCTGTCCTTTTTTTAAAAAAAAAAATTATTTATTTAGACTGTGTTGGGTCTTCGTTTCTGTGCGTGGGCTTTCTCTAGTTGCGTCAAGCGGGGGCCCACTCTTCATCGCGGTGCGCGGGCCTCTCACTGTTGCGGCCTTTCTTGTTGTGGAGCACAAGCTCCAGACGCGCAGGCTCAGTAGTTGTGGTTCATGGGCCCAGTTGCTCGGCGGCATGTGGGATCTTCCCAGACCAGGGCTCGAACCCGTGTCCCCTGCATTGGCAGGCAGATTCTCAACCACTGCGCCACCAGGGAAGCCCAATATGTGTCCTTTTGATGCTAGTCATCCTAATGGGTGTGAAGTGATATTTCTCTGTAGTTTTGATTTGCATTTCCCTGATGGCTAATGATGTTGAACACTTTATTCATATGTGTATTGGCCATCTGCATATCTTCTTTGGAGAAACGACTATTCAAATCATTTCCTCATTTTAAAATTAGGTTATTTGTCTTTTTATTATTGATATATGAGTCGTTTATATATTCTAGACAGAAGTCTCTTATGAGACAAATGATTTGCAAACATTTTCTCCCATTCTTTGGTTTGTTTTTTCATTTCCTTGATGGTGGTGCCTTTTGAAGCACAAAAGTTGTTAATTTTGATGATGTCCAATTCACCTTTTGTTGCTTGTGCTTTTATTCTATTTTTAATCTTTTAAAAATTCCTTGCTACTTATTTCTTGAAGGAACCAGGTCATTATGTCCTGTATAATTTACCATATTCTCAATTTTGCTAATTGCAACCCTAGGGTATTACTTAACATGTTCCCCCAACCCCTGTATTTTCTATAGGCTCATAATTAGATTCAGAGGTTGGATCAGATTTGGGTTTAAACTTCTGACAGAAATATTTCATAGGTGGTACTGTATGCATCCTAAACATCTCCTCTTTACATCACATGAGGAGGAATACAGTGACTGATTGAATTTTTTGTGATGTTAAGATTAATCAGTGGGTTCTGTTCTTATTGGCCTAACCCAACCATTTCAAATTCTCCAACACGCTCTTATTTAATGGTTTATCAGCTATAATGTTTGGCTCAGTGCTGTCCAATAGAACTTTCTATGGTGATGGAAATGTTCTATCTGTACACTGTCCAATATGGTAGCCTCTAATCACATGTAGCTATTGAGTACTTGAAATATGCCTAATACAACTGAAAAATGACTCAAATTTTAATTAACTTAAATGTAAATGGTTACATGTGACAAGTGGTTAATGGATAGTACAGGTCTAGGTTCACTATTTCACCAGAGTCTACACTACCTCTGCACTTGTTAGCTCATATTCTTCTAAAATAACTTCCCCTCATCAAATATGACTACCTTGGAATACAGCTCATTCAGAAAAGGCATAACTTCGGCTTGTTTTTAAAGTGGGCACTGAGCCTACATTTCAGGCCATTTTGATTGGGGTAGCCTGGCCTTTGGGCCCTTCCCAACTAAAGAACCATGAGGGGCATACATTCTGTTTTAGGAGGATTGTTACTGTAGTCTCTGTGTCACTTGCAGGGGGTCGGTAATAGAAACTACTGGCGCTTCATGCTTCTTCCCCACAGCTCATCTCTGATTTTAGCTGCAGCTGTGGTGGACAGTTATGCACACGGATGGCTTCCTACCTGAAGCACCTACCATATCGCTCAGCTTTTTGCAGCATGGAGTGTGGGAGTAGTTAATGTCCCGAGGATCAGCCTTCAACCAAGGGTAGCTAAATACTCAACCTCACAGGACCAATTCTGAAGTGCATACTAAACAGTTCTCCGGAGGGTGGCAGGCAGGATTAAGCTTTGCTGCCCACTGTGCTAACACTCAATAATGCCCCCTTTACTCGCTTTCTCTCCTCTAGTCCACTCTCTCTACTCCCTCTCTCCAGCTTCTAGGATCGCTTCCCTAATAAACTGCCTGCTTCCAAGTTGTGTCTGAAGCTCTGCTTTGGGGGAAATGTAAATTAGGGCAGGATCTCAAAATACTTTAGTCCATGGCATTTGGGCCCAACAGTCTTGGCTTGACTCATGTGCCTACCCCTAAACCAGTCACAGAAGCCAGGGGAATGTACTGCTCAGCTTGGCCAGGCCTAGGTCACATGCTCATCCTTGAAAATGGGCTGCTGGAATTTGCTCCATAAAAATGTGGTGATTGAGACTGGTGGATTGAGACCTGTGTGTTTGTGTGTGTGTGTGGCGGGGGGGGGGGGCTGTATGTGCGGGTGTGTGCACACACACACACACACACACACACACACACACACAGGGGGTAGTGTGGGGAGCATGGACGCTGGTCAGCCAAAACAATTCCCCTCTCAGTCCCTCTGTTGAGCTCCACACATATCCCTGAGACTGGACTCCTGTGGGACATGGATACCTGCCCACCACATTGGACTTGTCTGTGACGTCAGCTGTTCCCCAGAGGTGGGGACCACCATTCTTGCTTGAAGTATTCCCCAGACTCTGTCTAGCCTGCTTACAGCTTATCCTCTTCCTGCTCTAAATGTTCCCACCAAACTGCACAGTGCATGCAATGTCCTTTCAGACACTTTGGCAACTAGTGAGTCATGTACACAAAGAACCATTCAAAGCAAAATGTGGTCATTTCTCTGAGAGAGTAGTGAAAAGATGTTTGGAGAGCAGAGATAAAGGCATATAACATCTGGCTGGGAGCATGAGAGCAGACCAACGATTCAGCGACCATCAAGCACCCAGGACGAGCTTAAGGGTAGGATGAATAATGATAATAACAGTGATAATAATAACAGCAGGGTAGCTGTTATTATCCCTGTTAACAGCAGGTATAATAATAACAATGAATCCTCATAATACTCTTTCAAGTAGGTACAATTATTACCCTGTTTTAGAGTTGAGGTTAAGTAACTTGCTCAAGGTCACATAGTAAGGAGGTGACAGCATATGATCGGGTTCCTATCATGGAGGGTCTTAAAGGCCAGCATACAGTGTTAGCCTTGACTTGTAGTTCTTTGAGTAGCTGTTTCATGTTTCCCAGTGGACTCAAACTTCCTGAGAACAGCACTTTGTACTACACTTGGGGAGAAGCTACATATGTACCTCTTTGAATAGACCACCTTTATTGGAGTGAGCATTGTTAAACAAAATAAATGAAGTCTTCCACAGTGGTTAGAGCACTGTGGATCTGACAGGAAGTTATGGATCTGACTAATTGAGGCTTTCACCTCTGACTCAATGTGTGACTCTGGGCAAATGAACTAACAGCCCCATGCTTCTGACTTTCCAACTGTAAAAGAGAGGAAAAGAAATATCCAACATACTTCACAGGGAGACAGCAAGACCATGATAAATAAATAAATAAATAAATACACATATTAAATTCTTGCAACACTTAAGAGAAAGGTACTAAAGAAACCACGGTATTTTTCTTAGTTTCACCGTAACATCAGTAATCAGCAAATATGCATTAGGAGCCAAACACATTAGACACTATGGGATTACAACAGAATAATGAAACATGATTTCTGCTAGTCCCTGTTTTATAGGATTTGATGGGCAAGCTCAGCTTGATTGGTAAATATACAGATTACTTAACAGAACATCAAAATGGTAAAGTACGTTAGCGCTCATCTGGTTCAACATATATATATGAAAAATGAGATTCAAAAGGGATATGTAATAGTCTCAGGAAGAGTTTTACTAACGGGAAACACGTGTCTTCAAAGAAAAGGCCTGGGCTCAGGGTCTGAACTTCGGTTTAAGAGGTTACCATCTGTGGGACCCGGGGCCAGTCGCTTAGTTTCTCTGAACCAAATTCCTTTCCTCTAAAATGAGGATAATAATTTACTTCCAAGAGCTGTTGTGAAGATTAAGTAAAATCATGCATGCATGTAAAACTTTAATCCAGTGCCTGGCTTAGCACCACAAGTCAACTATTATTATCGTTACCTCTGCAGGAGAAAGCTCTTTTTCTGCAAGAAAAAACATTCCTTCTCCAGTCAGACCCCGTTAACAAGGTCGCAGCAGAACAGAAAGTGCTTTCAACTGCACGGAGATGGGTGCTGCAGGAACGTGGACCCAGCCCTCCCGGGCGACACAGCACAGCCGCCTTGGCAAAGCCCATCTTCCATTTCCTTCCGTTCCTTTTCGGGAGAGCCTGGCTCCCCCCCACGCGCTCGGTTATCTTATTCTCTTGCTTCGCCAGGTCGCTGGCCCCTCTCTGGCTTCTCTTTGCGTCCTCTCGGTCATGCGGGCCCCGCGGCAGCCGGGAGGCCAGAGCCTGCGGCTCGCCCCCTCCACGCCCCAGTCTTCCTCTTCGCTTCCGCGGGCCGCAGCTGCGTTCCGAAGCCAGGGTTCCCGAGGGGATTGACGCGCTGAGGGGAGGAGCGGTTTCTTGCTGCGCGCCTCTCAGGAGCATTACGGCCGGGCTCGTTCCCGGCTCCGGCCGCCAGCCCCAGCCTCACGGGTCCGGAGCGGGGACTGGAGGAGGCGGCGAGGGAGGGAGCGCGAGAGAAGAGGCACGCGCCCGCCCGTCCGCGCCCAGACCGCCGCAGCCGCCTTAGCAGCCATGGCCGAGCGCCGCGCCTTTGCCCAGAAGATCAGCAGGTAAATCTGGGGCGTGGGGCGCGCCGCCGCAGCCGGGGGAAGAGTCGGGGAATCCTCCCGGCCCGGGCCTAGGAGGCGGGTGGGTGTGGCGACGCGGACGCCGGGATCCCGCGGCCTGGTCGGCGGCTGGGCGGAGGGGCGGAGGGGCGGAGGGGGCTCTAGGCGGCCGCGGTGGCTGCCCAGGCCTGGCGCCGCCCTCCGAACCCGGCCCTTAGCCCGCGCCTCGGCCGGGGTCGCTGAGAGCCCCGCACGCCCGCGCCCCTGCCTCCGCCGGCTCCTCGGGCCCCCGGGCCTGGAGTTCGTGGCGGCTTATTGAAGGGCTGGCGGGGGAAAGCTCTTCTGCCGGCCGCTCGGCGCTTCCCAAATTCTTTGTGTCCCCACCCCCGGGCTGGCCGGGGCCCTTTCCCTCTCCCCGCCCACCCCCGTTGCCCCTCAGGAGGGTGCGGGGGTCCGCCCTCGTCTCCACCCCAACAAAAGATTCGGCGCGCGGCGGGCTCCCGGCCGGTGCGAGGCCCCCCCTCCTTCAAGCCTCTCACCCTTCCCAGAAATCTGACAGGAATCCTCTTTGCACCCAGGGGTCCAATTCAGAGTGGGCTCGTGCACCCAGAATCGAAAACGTACGGCCTAAATGAAAAGTTGAGAGCTTGTGGTCTGCACCTTCGGTGTCCAGCTGCCCGATCTGACGAATTGTAGGCTGGAGCTTGATCCTAGTAGCGTGTGAATGTTAACTGCGCCTGTGTTTCTCATAGCTCCAGAGGAAGATGGATGATAGGCAGTGTTCTTTATACACCGGCCCTTTGACTCGTGTTTTTAGAAGTCTAGCAGTGAGCAAGCGATCACGGTTGAGGTTTCTGAGCTTTTCACCCACTTGTGGTGGGGAGGTTGCCACCTTTCTCCCCCCTAAAACTAAAAATTGAATTATGGTGGAGGATTCTAACATTTGTAGACTTTCATTGTGGAATATATCAGTGTGTATGACACTAGACATGTTTTGTTTAATAAGACCATATTCCTGTTCATCTGAAGTCCCAAGAGAAGAAACATTCGAATGTATTACTTTTTCGACAATTGTATTTCTGTGACTCTGGATCTTTTTAGTTTGCTGATGTTTATTAAAGATTTTTGGACCTACCAAACAGGTCGTTTCTTAACTGCTTGAACTTCCATAGTGTTACTCTCTTTTGGCACTTTTTCATTTAAAACTAACATCTGTTTCATTTAAGCTTTTCTTTTTTTCTTTCGAGCTTTAAAACACATTTTATTTTCTCCTTAAGAGACAAAATAGCAAGTGCTTAAGAGCATAAGCTCAGACTGTGACCACGGGCTTAAATCCTGACTGTTATTTTCTAAGTTGGCACCTTGGCCAAATTGTTTAAGGTCTTTACTTGTTTGGAAAATGGGTAAAAAAACTGGTACCCAGCTCATAGAGTTGTTGCGAACATTAAACGGAATAATTTGTGTAAAGGGTTTAGTACAGTGTATGGCCTTTACTAGCTATCATGGAACACTTAACAGTAATTAGTATAACCTAGGGAGCTGTGATAGACTTAATAGGAAATTATTACTTTTGTTCTTTTTAAAAATTTTTCTGTAAAATAACTTGGTTTTGTTTCTGAAGGCAGTGCCATTTAAAAGTAGATGCATTACTTGACATGCATGCTTAGTATTAATTTCTCTTAAATAGAACCAAAAGCTTATCTCTGAGAACATTGTGCTGATCAAGAAAGTGCACATAAGGGAGTTAGGTGTGAAATACATACAATGTCTGTTCTCTATTCATGGAATTTGTTCTCAGATAGGGCATGACAAAACACAAGAAAAAAAGATAACCAGTTTTGCAAAACAACAAAAAAATTCAAGTTAGTATAGCTGTTTAAAGTTATAAAAGTAAGGCAATGGAAATGAAGAGACATGCATTGATTGTAGAGATACTTAGGAGGTAGGCATGGCAGTGATTGATGATTGCTTGGATAAGGAAAGTGAGGAAGACTGAAGAGTCTGGGAGGACATCCAAGTTTCTGACTTGGGCAACCAGGATGGAGGCAGTTGTTGAGTAAGGGAGGACAGGAGGAAGAATGGGTGTGAGGGTGGGAAATGAGGTGGGATGGAGATGATGATTCAGTTTTGGACATGTTGATTTTGAGGTGCTCATGGAGCATTCCAAGAGAAGTGTCTATGAGGCTGTTGGTACAGGTTTAAGGTGCAGAAGAGAGACTGGGTTGGAGATCTAGATTTGGGAGTCATCAGCAAGTAGATTGTAATTAAAGCCAGAGGAGTAGATGAGATAGTTGAGGAGGAATGCACAGGCTTAATCTGGAGGGAAGACCAAGGACAGAACTGCTATAGATGATGAATTATTATCTGCTTATTGTGAATGAAAGGTACTTTCCTCCAAGTTACCAAATATGGCTGAATAATACCTCTGAATAAATTATTGTTCTGCTTCTTAGTTTCCTACTGGGGGAAGTATAGCACAACTCTGGAGACAGACTGCCCCCTAGCACTGCATCCTAGCACTGCCCCCCATTGTGTAAACTTGGATGAGTTACTTCCTCTCACTTTTGCCTCATTTTCCCTATCTATAAAATGGGGTTAATAGTAGGACTCACCTTATAGGATTGTTGTAAGGATTAAATATATCCATACGTATAAAATGCTTATGACAGTGCTTTTTAGACAATAAGTACACAGTAAGTATCACTATTTTTTTTTATTATTACAGGATTTATAATCTGGCCTAGGACTATTATTTGGAAGTAATAATCCTTTTTATGATATACCTATATGAACTTTGTTGCTCTGTGAAAAGCCTGTTGCTACTGGAAAACTTATTTTTCTTTTTTAAAGCTTTATGATTTTTCAGAAACCTTTACTTTGAAAAGAATTATACTGATCTCTTTTCTGGCTCAGTTTTTTCCTAGCCCTTTGCATTTAGTGCTGTTATTTTTTGAGGCTGTGATTTGGTGATTTTTCAAAGCTCTTTATTGTGCAACACTGATTGTGCTACTAACCTTGGCTCATCATAGAAAAGCAGACTTCATGTCAAGTATTGCCTCTTGTCTGTTCTCCCTACATTTATGTGTGTATGTATGGCTGCGTTGGATCTTTGTTGCTCTGTGTGGACTTTTCTAGTTGTGGTGAGCGGGGGCTATTCTTTGTTGCGGTGCACAGGCTTTTCATTGCGGTGGCTTCTCTTGGTGTAGAGCACAGGCTCTAGGCGCACGGGCTTCAGTAGTTGCGGCATGCAGGCTCAGTAGTTGTGGCTCACGGGCTCTAGAGCACAGGCTTAGTAGTTGTGGCACATGGGCTTAGTTGCTCCGTGGCATGTGGGATCTTCCTGGACCAGGGATCGAACTCATGTTCCCTGCATTGGCAGGCAGATTCTTAACTACTGAGCCACCAGGGAAGTCCCTGTTCTCCCTACTTTTTGAGGACAAGGCATATGCCTTGTTAACCTTTGTAATCACTCCCTAGTGTATAATAGGTACAATTTATGGAATGTTGATTGTAGATAAATGACCTAGGATTTTGTTTGGATTATTTTGTCCTATCACTTGATATTCAGCTGTAATGAAGAACATTTGTGTATGCTTAAAACACTTTTTACCACATTCTCATCTTCATAACCCAGAGGGCAGAAGAACATTGTAAAGAAGGTAGGCTGTAGATCACATCACCCAGGTTGAAATTCTACCTATACCAAATAATAGCTGTGTAATTCTGGGCAGTTGATCTAACCTCTTTGTCTTGGTTTGCTCATCAGTAAAGTGGAGCTAAAAACCTCTGTAGGATTAATTTGAGGATTAAATGAGATAATACATGTAAGACACTTAGAACTGTGCCTGAAACATAATAAGCATTCAAAAAATGTTAGCTGCTGCTATTATTCCTATATTATTTACTGTTATTTATTTATCTATTTGTTTATTTTTATTGGGGTATAGTTGTTTTAAAATGTTGTGTTAGTTTCTACTGTACAGTGAAGTGGAGTTCCCCGTGCTATACAGCAGGTTCTTATTAGTTATCTATTTTATACATATTAGTGTATATATGTCAATCCCAGTCTCCCAATTCATCCCACCTCACCACCCCCACTTTCCCCCCTTGGTGTCCATACGTTTGTTCTCTACATCTGTGTCTCTATTTCTGCCTTGCAGACCGGTTCATCTGTACCATTTTTCTAGGTTCCACATATATGCGTTAATATACGATATTTGTTTTTCTCTTTCTGACTTACTTCACCCTGTATGACAGTCTCTAGGTCCATCCACGTCTCTGCAAATGACCCAATTTCGTTCCTTATTGTGGCTGAGTAATATTCCATTGTGTATATGTACCATATCTTCTTTATCCATTCCTCTGTTGATGGACACTTAGGTTGCTTCCATGTCCTGGCTATTGTAAATAGTGCTGCAATGAACACTGGAGTGCATGTGTCTTTTTGAATTATGGTTATTTACTGTTATTTATTATTCCCATAATACAGATGCAGAACTGAGGCCTACTGAGAATGAGATTATTTGCCTTAATTGAGGCTCAAACCCTAGTCCTCTGATTTCAGATCTTAAATTATTATTATTTGACTGTATTTTCTTTCTGCAAAATATTTTCTTCTGTGGTAGTTCTAGATTTTCTAACAGTGCTGCTATTAGTATACCAAAAGTTATCCTTGTTTTCTTAATCTTTGTTAATTTCGTATCATTTTGCTGCCTAAGAAGCAGAATTTAATGAAAGGCTTTCATCAGATCTTTATTTCTGAGGAAAATCCTACATGAGTAGGATTTCCTGGGTATAGGCTTATTTATAACCTCAATTGTTTTTAGTCTTGAATCTGTTCATAACTCTGGCTGAATAGGCTCAATCTTTTAATCTACTTTGTTCAATTCATAATCTCACTCCTGACCAAAGTCCTTTCCACATAGTATCAACTATTTCAGTGCTGCCTGTTTCATCACTTTGGACACATATACCACTTCCCTGACCTTCTGTTGTACTCATTT